CGAGAGTCACATTTTATTGCTATGACACTGCAGCTCAGTCCTAGATGCCAAGGTGTCCCCCGTGGTGACTGAGACTGAATACAAATGGAGTTTAGGCTCACCCAGCGTATCCTTGAGGCTTTTTAAAGGGAGTTTTGTGGAGAACAAGAGATACTGAGTTGTGAGGAGACCTGGATATGAGTGACAGTTTCCTGAGCAGGGCATCTGTGTTTGCAGCTGTCCAGTGAGAGGCACAGCTGGTGGAGCCAGTCCCTCAGACTCGGTGGTGCAGCCTGTCGATTCAACTTCAGTACCTACTGTATGAACTGTGTTCTCCAGGCTCTGGAAAAAACACCTCAAAAAGGTCTCACGTATTGATAGGGTAGAACTATGTAAACTCCATGGAGACCCAATTCACCACCTCTGAAAACAATGACAAAAACATGCAGTATCTAGAAATGAACAGCCTGAGAACCAGGGACACAGCCTTATGTCACTATATAAGAGACATGGTGAGGGGTCATCAGTGTGAGCTCAGACACAAGCTGCATGAACTCTTAGGGCCAGCATGGGGCACTGTGGATCCACTGAATACCAGAAATGTCCCCAGGAACAGGCAGAAAGAAAGAAGCGGGAAGCGAGAGCTTCTTGTTAGCCTCTGTGGGTGTTTCTCTGTGTTGACATCACATAACCTGGAGAGACCTAGAGGTGAGAGATTAGGACATTGGAACATGACCTGTCAATCATGAAGCCAAATCATGGCTGGCATGTAAGTCCAGAGTGGCTTTCACTCACTCTTTGGAATAGCCCAGATTTGACTTCTAAAGAAGATCTAAAAAATGGCAGCAATTGATTTCATTGTCACTTCCCCCTTGTTCTTGCAATGGCCCACTCCGTAAGCAGGCAAATATTCTCTTTTCTTTGGAGCATTTATTCCTCTTGAGAACTTCCTTCTGTACTCCTTTTTCACTTTTTTAAAAATATCAAATAGACCTTGAGCTTTTACACTCATCAGTTGTCCTATTCAATTGCTGAAGGAACCACTGGGAACCTCTTTGTTTCTGGTGTGATGTTGCAGGTGTACCTTTTACGTCCAGTGCAGGATGAGGATGTCTCCCAAAATGTGACACAACTGGAGATGTTGCCAGATCTTCACTTGGACTTTCTGAACTCAGGCTTCCTGAGAGCCTTCAAATCTCTGATACTTGTCAGGAGTTTCCTTGTTTCCTTCTTATGAATAGTTGAGTGTGCAGGCTTCATTGTGGAGGCGTCACATACGATTAGAGATCTTAGACCCCTAACTCAAAGAAGAAATTAAAGTTAGACTCTGATGGTGCTTCTGGTTTCTTCTCCAAACTGTAAAGTTACAGAAAATGATTATTTAGGTGTGTAAATCTATAAAACATATGGAAAATGTAAACACCTATATCTTTTTATGGGGCCATGAATAAAATAAAATTGCAGATTGAACAATCACATAGAAATCTGGAGACAGGAAGATCCTGGATCCTAGCACAGAAGGAGATCAAGAAACAGTAGAGGGAACAGTAAGGGGGAGATGATGAATGGCTACAGGATAGGAGAGGACCAGGGAGAAGGTGAGAGCTCCTAGGAGACACACACCAATAATGTTACCTCTGGAAGCCACCAGCAACTCAAGGTGAGAATCCAAATAGATTCTTCAGTGCTGGGATAGGAGGAAGTGAGGAATGATGAGTAAAAAAATGGACCCAGATCCTGGTCTAGACAGATACTCGGGAAATAACTTTTCCAGGAATATCCTACCTGGAGGAAAATTATTGTCCTAGATTCAAACCAACTGTTCATTCTTTGAGCGTGACCTCAAGGACTCAAAACAGTCCAGAGAAGACACAAATGAAAGGAAATGCACCCTCTCCTAGAAAGGAGCAGAGGTCATGGTAAAATATGCCAAATACCTGGAAGGTCATGAACACAGGAAATTATAGACGTCAGCATGAGAATTCCCCATGGTCTTGCACACCAGTGTGGTGAGTGCGTTTGAGCTCAATGAGCTGCAGGAACCAGGTGCATCTGAGAGGAACAGTGTGTAAAACTACAGACAGCAGAAGAGAGAGAGGAGAGGAGAGGACAGTCCTGTTCAGCCTCTGTGTTTCCAACCTGCATAACCCTGCCGAGGGCCCAAAGGGCCTCAGGGTCATTTATCCCTCTCCTCTTGGTGTCCTTTACAAGATAGGTTTTCTGGTTCCTACAGGTTTGTCCACGAGGGCATAGGTTTGCATAACCAGGAAGACATTATCAAGAAGACATGCACATCCTTGCAGGAAACTGACGTTACACTTGGGGAGACTTAGTACTGAATTTACCCTTGTCCGACCCTGTGTGTGAGATCAGAAGAGGAAGAGACCAGCATCTGTAGCCCACTAGGATGGCACCTTTTCCTTCCTGGTGTCAAGGTGTCCTGCAGAAGCTCATGCTGAGTGAAGATAAACCAATTCACTATGAGATTGCCGTCCCCAACAGGTGACCCACACCACATGATCATCAGTGGGCAATGGTGCTGTCTCTCAAACTGTCTTCTCCATGCTTGCCATCATACACAGAGGGTTTCAAGGAACTCTGAGGGGGCCAACAGCCTCCTACTAGTGTCCTTTGATTTCCAGGCAGATCATTTGGTGGAGATGAAGCTCAGTAATGTGGGGAGGCCCATAGACACTACCTCTTATGGGAGGTGCAGGAGTCCACAGTGCAAAGGATCCATCTCTCTGGTGCAGGATCAGGACCTCGTTGGGGTTCTCCTCACCCTTCTCAGGTCACATGCTGCCCATGCTGGCCTTATGTGATCCAAAGACAATTCTCAATGGCAACACCGATGAGCCTGCAGCCACACTGAACCCGCCACAAAGCTGGTTTCTCCTACAGCCTCAATAACTGACATAAAGAGTGGTTCTCACTATGAAGCCCAGCTGTCTGGAGAGCAGGGACAGGTTCATACAGGGGCACCAACTATGAGGTTCAGTTCCAGGCCACACATACACATCCCCATGGACTTTTACCTTGGTCCAGCTCCTGTATCATGCAGATTTTGCCCCTGTAGACTATATGCAGTGTTCCTTGCTTATGGCTTTAGCAGGTTGTGCCTCTGAGTGTGGCAGCGTGTGGGAAGGCTCCAGTCCACCCTTCCATGCATATGGCACAGGGTCATTTACTGACCCACATAAGGGGGGATGGCCCAGGGGCATTGTCAGAAGCTCACGATTTTCCTGAAGGAGCCTCTCAACCCAGCTCAGCCCTTTCCTGTTGTCTGAGGACACCATAGGAATCATCTTGTTAACCAGACATGAATGGTATACAGAGTGGTGAGCAGCAGAGGAGCTCAGGATGCATTCTGCATAGTTGCAGCCCAGTAACAGCTGGTTTCCTGGGGCAGGATCCTCCTGGGCTTGAGACTTCCTCTTTCAAAAATTGTGATGCAACATTGGAAAATATAAAAGTTTATAAAGTGTGCACATAGTTGAGAAATGTCCTGTTTGATGGGTGGAGTTTACCTAATTAAAAATGCAAGGAGAGCCACTTACAGTGGATTTTTAGTGCACTGAATCTATAAACATTAAGGTGATGGAACACAGAAAGGAGTTTTCTTAAATGATGCAGCATGTTGGGAGTCACACTTGTCTCAGTGTCTCAGCATAGATTTTCCCTCGGGTGTTGGTGTTGGCAGCGCTGCTGAGTGAGTGGCACAGTGGTGGAGGGTGAGAGAGAGTGGCAGGTGAGTGGTCCGTGTGGATGAGCTCAATGAATAATGATAAGAGCAAAGGACATATGTCAGTGTGCAGCTGTGGATGTGTAGAGAATGAAATAGATTACTCTGCCGTGAAACTTTACTTCAGTAACCCAGAGGACCCAGAGGCGCTGCTGCTTCAACGTAAGAGTTTCAGGTAAATAGCAGTGAACTCAGACCTCTGTAGTTATGTATTTGTAACTCAAGGACATGAGAACAAACGTGTAGAAGAAAAACATTTGCACCATGTTATATAGGGGTTTGGTCAGAAGACAGGGCTGGGATGTGATGATTTGTTACATGCACAGTTTACATAGTTTATGCAATCTTATCAATTTAGAGGGGACACAATAGTCAAAGCAAACATCTCCAGGAACAAACTACTTTCAATTATGCTGACCACTGTCCTGCTGATTCTGCTATAAACCATGCACCCCTGAAACCCTGAACTCTTGTTCAACAAGTCCCTTCCTTTTTCTAATTCACTTCAAACAATACCTTGGCTGGAGTCTCCAGACATATACAAAGTGAAATTCTGTAAAATCTATAATATCATATTCTGCGAACTTGGGAATGAGATCCAAGCATAATCAAAACAAAGCCTTAGATGAGATTCTAGGAATTGAGCCATCCACCTCTTCATTCAAGTCCTAGTCTGCTTAGGGTCAAGTCTAGAACCCTGGACGGCACATCACAGTTCTGCTCTGAGCACCAAGGGTCTTCCTGTGGAGCAGCTGAGATCTCTGCCACCCAGACAGGTGCTGTGGAAACCATCCCAGGAGGCCAGGCTGATATCAGAGATTCGGTGGCTCCTTTTGGGTACACATGTGGTAGAGACAGTGTCCCTTTCTTCCTGTCGGCAGTGGGCTTTGCTGGTACTTGATGGAAGCAACATGGGGTCAGTGCACCAGCTCTGCATCACAGACAATCATGGTTCACAACAGGATCAGAGTCTAGGGACCACTAAAATTTGGATTTGCTCTGCAGATTTTGTTCTGTGCAAAAATGATTCTCAGTGGTATGAGTTCTGTCTGCACAGGGTGCAGAGAGGTGCACAGGATGTATTTCCTCAGCTATGATTTGGACATGGTCTCCAGCACCCCACTGTTGCACGCTCTCTATGTCATCTAGGTCCTCCTTCTCACTCTCTATTAGGTCTTGAGCTAAGAAGATCCCTGTCTTATGAATATGCAAATAACCTGAATCTTCTCCAGTAAATACAGATATATCTGTGCCCCAGAGTATCCCCAAACCACAAACATCCTCTGCAGAATCCCCCAGAGCACAGCTCCACACCATGGACTGGACCTGGAAAATCCTCTTCTTGGTAGTCGCTGTGAAAGGTAAGGGGATCTTCAATCTCAGGGCTGAGCAGGGGACCAGAGCCTGTCAGGGGGCACTGCCTTCAACTCCTGTCTCCTTTTCATAGGTGCCCATGGCCAGGTGCAGCTGGTTCAGTCTGGGGCTGAGGTGAGGAGTCCTGGAACCTCAGTGAAAGTCTCCTGCAAGGCTTCTGGCTACACCTTCACCAGTTACTGGATCAACTGGGTGCGCCAGGGTCCTGGACAGGGACTGGAGTGGATTGCAAGGATCTACCCTGGTGATGGTGATACTAATTATGCTCAGAAGTTCCAAGGAAAGGTCACCCTCACTGCCGACACCTCCTCCAGCACAGCCTACATGGAGCTGAGCAATCTGAAGTCTGAGGACACAGCCGTGTATTACTGTGCGAGACACACAGTGTGGTGACCACATCCTGAGTCTGTCAGAAACCCTGAGGGAGGAGCAGCTGCAGTGCCGCTGAAATGACTAAGATGATGAGACTGAGGAGTTACTTAGAAAACTGATGTATTAATTGAGGATAGGAACCATAGAAACAGATATGCACCCTAATTGTATGGGTGTCAGCCACAGTCACCCCTGGTGCAAAATACAGAGAGCAAAGAAAACTCTCTAATAAGGTAGATACGAACAATGCCAAAAAGGTATTTGTCATAACACATATTTCAAAATATTTGGAGAAATATGCAGTAGCAAAGGTTTTCAATCATAACTCAACATTCTGTATATTTTCTGAAACATGGCCAAAATGTTTCTGCCATTTCTGTTTAGCAGAATTTACTTATAGGGTAAGTTTAGGTTCACAGTAAAATTGATTAGAAAGTAGTGAGATTTCCCATGAATCTCCCCCCACCACACACCATATGTGCACAGCCTGCCCCTCTAACACCGCCCCGTCCTGCAGTCCTTCTGTGTTCCAGCTATTGGAGCCACAGTGAGACACCATTGACTCCCACAGTCAGTTCTTGTATGGGTTGATGGCTGGTGCTCTGTATTCTGCGGGTTTAGACAAGTGTCTCATGACATGTCCCCACAAGTCTTTCACTGGTGTCCAAATTATTCGGGTGATTACCATGAACAGGCTCGTTGTACCCTGTGGTTATAGGGGTCCATTCCAGCAGGCAGAGGGTGCAGGTGCTGACAGAGGAGTCTGCATGCAGAGCACCTGTGAAGAGTCCAGTTGGCCTTCCTGCTTTTTGAGCAATTATGGAATTGTCAGATCCCTGAGGAATCTCTGGGGTTGTCCACTGCACAAGTGGCTAATGATGATGGTTCACATCTTTCTTCATCCTTTCAAGCTCGCTGTAGATGTTCCTTTCCAACTGTCCTATAATCAGTCTTCATTCCCTGGGGAGAGCTGAAGGAGGGAAGCTGATGAAAGCACCCTCATGAGGTAGGAGAGAACATCTTGTTCAGATCAGATTATATTGCTCCTTCATCATCTTCACCTCCATAAGAAACTCCCAAAGAGCCTTCACCATGTAAGAAACATTTTCCACTCTCATCAGCAGGGATTCCTCTTACAATCCTCAGGATTTTATTTGGTCAGTGTTTGTTTCTTGGCATTTCAATCACATGGTTGTATAAATATGTATTTTTCTATTGTTGTCTGTTTGTTTTTGTCTTTTTGGTACCAGGGATTGAATTCAGAACCTTGCTGAGGCAGGCAGCAGAACAACTGAGCTAAATCCCTGGATATGTATTTATACACATACACACACACACACACGCATGCCATATTGGACATTTTATGGAGCCCTAAATAAGTTTTTTTTTTTTTGAGACAGGATCTCACTATGTAGTTGAGACTGACCTGGAACTCAGGCTGGCCTCAAACTCACAGGGATCCTCCTGCCTCAGCCTCCTGAGTGCTGGGATTACAGGCATGTGCCGCCATGCCCATCTGACTCCTAAATAAGTTTTGAAATTTTTATTTTATTTTGAGTGTTTTTGTTTGCTTCAGCCTTAAATGTTTTTGGTTATTTTCTCTATAGGTCCTTTAACAACTTTGCAATTATCAGTATATTTTCTGAGTCTATGGCTCATCTTTTCATTTTTTTACTTCAGTTTTCTCAAAAAAAAGTCAACTTCTTAGTGCGAAAATATTCAGCACTTTTATTTTTCAGATGTCAAGCGATATGTAATTGTGATTTTCAATCCTGTTTCCTTCTCATGAACCTGTATGCCTTTTGCATGTTTCTGTTGAGAAATGCTATTCAGGCCTTTTGCAGTTTTAAATAGATATCATCTCTTTATTCATTTATTGCATCCAAAATGTAAAGTTTTCTTAGCATTTTAGATTTTTAATTTCATCAGGTATATCATGTGCAAATATTTTCCCCCTTTCAATAGTAGGCTTACCATTCTGCAAATTACTGGCTTTTCAGTAAAAATCAGTTATGTATGATATTTGTTTAGTCAATTTTTGCTTTTGTTGCCTCTACATTTGGAAACAAATTCAAAATTCATTGGCTAGACCAATTAAAGGACCATTTCTTCCTGTTTTCCTTTAGAAGCCTTACAATTTGTGTGTTATATTTTGCTCCATTTTTATTTGGATTTTGTAGTTTGAGATATGTGGCCAATGCCTTGGACAGTTTGGGCTGATTCCACTGTGGCGAGGCTGCTCCTGGCATCTAGTTGTTTAAGACCCTGAATGCTGTTACACATCTTAAAATTTTGGTAGTTTAGTTTAGTTATTAAGAGACTGCCTGTCACTTCTTTCAACTTCCTGCTCCTCTTCTGCACCAGACAGAGGCTGGTAACTCTCTCAGGGAAGTGGGGCTGCACCCACACCAGCCCCAGGCCTGTACATCCTGAGCTCACCTCCTGTGCACCTGTTGGAGCAGAGAGGATGGAGAATAAGCCCAGCACTCGCTATGACAGCTGTTGCTGCCCACTGTGCATGTGGAGATGGCCAAGGGCCATGAGACCCTGCCCTGAGATGGACACAGACATGGGCACATGAGAGAGGGCACAGTCACGATGGGCCTGGAGCCCCCACAGCCCCACAGCAACACCCACTAAACACCTGTCTTTTGGCTCATCAGCAACAAAGCAGCGATGGCCCTAACTGATCGTTAGTATTCATTCAGACTGCTCTACTGCAGATTGTATCCACCAAAGGGAACACGCAATGAACCAACAAAACAATAAGAATGAAGTAAATTAATAAACCTATCACAATGTTGTATCCAAAAACTGAAAATAAATAATAGCAGTAATTACAGAACAGATGAACAAAAAGTACACATATTCAGGAAAATCATTCCATCTTTGAAAAGAATAGAATTTTTTTGTGATAATGATCTTCAATGAAAATGGATTAAAATTTTCAAGCAAAAGGGAGAGTTTGGCTAAAACACAAAGATAACAAAATACAGCTATCAGTGCTCTACAAGACAGAAACTTTTAAATTCAATGTCACAAATATTTTGAAGGTTAATAATAGGATCATGTTTCTTGCATAGCTAAATTAAGGTCAGGCAGAATGATGAAGATATTGGCAGATAAAATGGTCATTTGTATATAAGACTTGTCATTATATATGTTGTATATGATATTAAATATTGATTTCAAGGGCCGGGGATTTAGCTCAGTGGTTTGGATGGCTGCCTTGTAAGTGCAAGGACCTGAGTTCAATCCCCAGTACCAAAAAAAAAAAAAAAAAAAAAATAAAAAAAAAAAAAAAAAAAAAAAAAAAAGAAAATTAAAAAAATATATATTGATTTCAATGTCAAATTACTACACTTAAAACAGTTGATCTGAGTGAGTCATTCCCCTGACTCCATTTGATTCTACACAGTACCCATTCTTATTCCTGACTCCACTGTCCTAAGAGAGGTGGAGAGTAAAATAACAAGATCTTAGGAAATCACCAATGCTGTATGCTAGACTCCAGGCCTGTTAGATCTAGCCTGAGCTTCTGGTCACCTTTACCCTACCCCATCTCATTACATGTCCAGAAACATGCATTACATGCCATAAATCTAATTAAGATCACAGTGAATTCTGAGACAATCACACACGTTGAGAGCCCATAGGATGACTCAGCACCCTGTCAATCATTCCTGTCAATCGTACCTAGAGATTCACTGGGAGGCACCTAAGGATGAACCGGGAGCGTGTTTCTCTGCAGTTAAAGCCAAACTTACTTGTGGAAAAGTTTTCCCCTATTCCCTTAGTATGTCTGGACTTCTGGACATTCCCTCTCAAGCATCTCAGGAATTTTCCCTGTTCTCAGTTTTATTACGTCCATCTCCCTGCCAAATGCAAATGAGATGTGGTTCTGTGCACGGAGCTTGCTGTCTGCAATATCTGATAACCAGTTAATTCCCTGGGCCCAAATGACTTGTGCTGTTTGTAACCAAGGCAGAGTGCTTAGCTCCTGCAAGCCGGCCTGCTCCCTAAGTATAACCTTCCCTGCTAAACCCCTGGTGGTGGGGGGGTCAGTATCTTTGTGGAGAAGTCCTACACTGATTCGCTGGTATTAAAAATAAAACCATACACTTTGCCTCCAGAACTTCTGGGTATGTTTTGGCTGGCACTCTGCTGCTACAGATAGACCTATCTGGTCTTTAATTTCTAAAATCCTGATTCATCCACCCTTTTTGTTGTTGCTGTTGCTATCTTTTCCTTAGTGGACCTGTGTGCAGCACTTTTCTGTCACCCAGGACCTCTGTCTGTCAGTCACTTATCCTATGGTGGCACAGACTTGGCCTGAGCACAACTTCCCTTGCTTGTTTCTACTGAGTGTACACTTGGCAGTTCTTTCATAGTCCTCACAAGATCCTGGACTACTATAGGCCCATTGCGCTGTGACAAAATCATTAAGAAAAAATAACAACTATAACCATATGTTTCTGTTACAGTGGGTCCCAGGCTTATGGCTCTGCAAAACACTGAAAAATGAAGTTGCCAACCATGAAGGACAATAGGAAAGTTTTATTGATAATGGTTCCTTGGTGTTCAGGAGGATTCGTGACTGGAATGCCATGTAGCCCCTTGATTTAGAATTCTTTGTAGGTAAACAGGGCACAGGAATTGCTTCATTGTCCAGTGGATCCCTATCACAGGCCTCTCTGTGAAGTCAAAAAATGACCAATTGGAATTCATGCCCGATTCCTTACATAGCATTTATAGTAAATGGGACCTAGAAGGAACTAGTTATTTTACATTATAATTTCTTCAAAATCATCAGGAAGGGATGGGCTGCATTCCATGTTACAGAGTAAATTTGTTGTACTTTAAATCACTCAAAATTCAGGAGTTCAGCACGTAGTGATACCTCTCTTTAAGAGGGACGGCCTGTATTTCAGGCTGCATTTCATTCCTGGCCAAAGTCCTTGTATACCTTTTATTATTTTTATTCTCATTAATATGGCATAGTTCTGCATTTTCTCTGGCCC